AATAAAATGTGGTAATTTTGAAATATTGATTTAATCATTCTATCTAATATCACCACATTTTTATTTATTTCGAGTTTGATCAGGGTTTTTTAAATCAAATGTATTTTTATGATAGTTAAGATTATACACTTTCGTGGTGTTTTTATCTGACTTATCTTTTCTTTGATATTCTCGAATCAGCAATGCATCTTATACCTTTTTAAGTTAAAAAGAAGATTGGAATTGTTAATTGTTGCTGAATTTTATTCTTCTATTATTAATGAAACTAACAAACATTGCTTTATTTATTTAATGGTGATAACTTTCAGCGACGAAATCAAAAATAGAAATGATACAATTATTGCATAGTTTATAAACTTTTCACTTACCATTGGAAAATTATATTTCAAAAATTTGTTGTGAAAATTTATTTATTTTTTTCGAGACAATTCTATAAATTCGTCGATAAAGTCTAGGAAAAAAAAAAAACATTGTAAGGTTTAGTGCTAAAATAATTTTCATTAAAAAGTACAAGTACACACAGTTGATTGGCAACAATTTGTAGTATTACAATATAATTTAAATTTTGTTTTGTTTTTTTACTCAATAATTTAAATTTCAATTTTTACATTAGCTATGATAGAGTAACATACTATTGTGGTAATATCAATTTCTTCATGTCCAATGGCAACGATTCCATTATTGCTTTTATTTTCTGAAGTCGTTGTTCCACCGATAATTGTTGCTGCATATGAACTGCTCGTAATTGTTGTTGTATATTAAATGGTAATTTTTGAAATGGTGATAATAATGGTAGTCTTTGACGAATTGTATCAGGTAAAGCATTAATTATTCTATCAATTTTTTTCAATTTTTCCTGTAAATAATTGCAGATAATCGGAATGAATTCTTTCTTTCTTTATGATTTGGATGAATTTCAAATGATTTTAAAAAAAAAAATTAATAAAGTAAAGTATAAAATTGTGATAATAAAATTTTTATAGCTTTAGATAAGCTATAAAAATAGAATAAAATGTAAAAAAAAAAAACTTACTGCTTTATCAAGATTAATATCCTGATAAATTGCAACAAGATTATTCCATACTTCATTTGGAAGTATTTCTTTAGATTCCGATGAAAGTGCCTAGGAATATTGATTTTTAATTAATTAAATGTTAGTCAATTTAATAATTTACATTAGACATTTTGCTAATATTTTATTTACATTTAAACATTTTAGTAATATTTTCTTTACACTTAAACAGTTTACTAATATTTATTTGATTTACATTTAAACACTTTACTAATAATTTAAATACAGCAAAAAATCATTTATAGTTATTAACTATTACTTTATCTATTTACCTATTAATTTTTGTTTACTTAAATAAACAACGATTTTTTTTTCTTTCATGCTGCACTGAATTTTATTGCTTTTATTATCTGATTCCTATAGAAATTTCCTTTATTACTTTAATCTCTATAATTGTTCCACTCACTTATCCAGTAATTACTGCTAGGATAAGTAACTTTTCTTCCTGAATTGATATAATTGAATACACACATTTGACCTTCTCATAAATAATAATCGAAATACAGCGCAACAATTCAGGAATTTTTTTACTTTTCGAGTATGAAATTATTATAATACCATAGTGATATGATAAGATTAATTATCATTATCACTGCTATTATCATTGTTATTCATTATTACTATTTATTTTTATTATATTATCACCTATTATCATTTATTATTATTATTATTATTATTTCACACTATGTTTTGCTTATTTTAATTTACATATGTAATATGAATCAAACTTAATTATTTAATAAAATATGAAAAGAAAATATTTGAACAATTTTGTTATTATCATTAGATCATAAAAAAAATACCAATGGAAAATGTGGCATTGTTTGTTGTAGCATTATTCTTTGTTCTTGTGGAAGTGATTCAATGATAATTGTCATTTGAAGCCATTTTTCTTGCATTGTAAGATTTTTTGCTGTTCGTGTAATCTTGATCATTTCCTGGATTTCCTGAGGAAGTAAACGGAAAACCGGTGGCAAAGGAAGCTGTTGCAAGATATTTTCCGGTAGAGCATTAATAATTTCATCAATTTTCATTATCTTTTGCTGCAATTGATAACAATATAGATAATTTGATAAGGACAATTCTAGAGAGAGAAAAAAAAATTTTTATTCTTCATTTTATGTATCTCTCTTTCTCTCTGTGTTTGTGTATAATTTTGAAATTAATTTTCAAAAAAAAAAAAAAATCAAGAATATGAATTTGTAAAAAAGAATGAGAAATCATATATCTATTAATGAAATATAGAAATATCTTCTCTCTAACCTGTACTGTTAATGATTCATTCTGATGAATTGAGGTAAGTTGAGCAAAAGTTACAGGTGGAAGAATACTTTTTAATTCAAATGGTGGTTCCTAAATGATTATTTTTATAATATTAAATAATTAAATAATCAATTGAAACAATATTGCATATAATTAATAATTAATTATTTCATTCATTCATTCATTCATAAATTATTTCATCCTAACACGAGGAAGTGCAAACAATTAGAAATTATTTAAAAAATTTTAATAATTAAACTAATTCAATTTTTTCAAGTTAACTTTTGAACTGTTCCAAATGTTCGAAATTTCATCTAATAATATCTAACATTTGGCTAACACATACTTTGTTTTTTTCACAATTTATCAAATAATTCTTTTGACTATTTAAATTTGAATATTTTTCCACAAATTTAAATGATTGTTGAAATTATTACTCAAAAAGGAAGAAAAAAAAAACAACAAAATTTCAGTCAAATATAATCAAAACAATGGAATATAATAATTAAAAAAAAAAAAAAAACTAAAATCTTAAAAAATATATATAACTAAACAAATCTTATATAAAAATCTGAATTTTTGATCTTTTTTTTTTTAGAGATGAAATGATAATTTTTTTGTATTAAATCATTGTTTGATTATAAATAATTGAGTAATAAATTAAGTTAAATTAATCAGATAATTAATAAACAATTAAGAATGAAACATACTGATGGAAATGAAGGTACTCTTTCGTGATTATTAGATGAATTCCACGATATATTCGGTTTTGATGCAACCAAAAGTATCGTTGATATTACTAGTAGAAAGATAGAATTTATTGAATGAATCATTTCAAAAAAACTCTTAAAGTTACTTTCAACTTTTAAATTCACTTTTATATAGGGTACTTTTCTTTTGCACTGTTGACTTGACATTAGTCATTATTCTTTTTTAAATAATCCTTTCAGTTAACTTTGATATAACAGTAAATGCAACTTTATGATTGATTTTAAAAGTAAGTTTAATCTTGTTAACTTTTCCATTAGTCTTTTTCTCATTTCTTACATTCTCTTCTTATATTGCTATAAAATTTTTTTGTTTTCTTTTTGCATAATTTATTTGAGTAAGAACAAAGTAACTAGTTTTTATGCCTTCTTTTTTTTGCTCTATCATTAAACATACTTTAAATTTCATTGTTAAAATTATATTCATTTTCCTATACATTTACTTTACTTTTTTCATTCATTCATTCAAATAACACACAAAATTATTTAACAATAATAGAAATGACATTTTTACAGTAAAAATTTTGTGTATATGAATAAATAAACAAATTATGTTTACCTTTCTTTTTTTTTTTTTTATTCTTTTTTCAATGGTATAAACAAGCATTTGAATAAGTCACGCACTTTTGATATTTTTTTCTTTTCATTAAAAATTTTATGAATATCTATGACCATTTGTATTCACGAGAAATATCATCACTAAATTGCTTTTAACTATAAAATATTATCATTAAAATTTTCTCTTTTTTTTTTTTTTAATTTTAGAAATAACATTAAACTGCTTTTTAACTGTAAAATATATATTAAATTGTTTTTTAATATTATTATTAAATTACTTTTTTTAAATTCCAAAAATTGCTTCAATTTTTTACCACTCTTTTCGTTTTTTTTTTGTCTTTAAGTTTGCGAATTCATTATTAAATACCGAAATATATTAGATCAAAAGTTCATCTAATTGCTTTAACCTTAATTTAGATTATACATTTCATGATGTAATCCTAATTTGTTTATATATTTCATATCTAGAATTTATACTTTGCACATTTTGCAATTGTGTTTTCTTTCAAAAAGAGCATACTTACCGTCTTTTCACGAACTTTTTTTTTTCTCTTTTCAATACTCAAAAAGCAGATAGAATAATTTGCTTATTTATATAAATAACTCTGAGAAACGTAGAACCGGTACTCAGTTTAATTGCACTCACATCAAACTTAATAATGTTATTCCTGTCTTTTCTTTCACTTTTTTTTTTTTTTTTTTGGAATAAGGAAAAAAAATAATAAAATAGAAAGGTAACGTATTTTAAGTGATATAAAAATATATTTGAAGGCCATTCGTCGTTTTTTTGATTTTAGTAGAGAAATAAATTGGAATAAATTTCCTTTAACTATCCAATTTCTTAGCGTTACAGTTCATTTATGTAGCACTATTTTTAATAAAAGAAAAATTTGTTAAACTATTTTGCGCAGAGCAAAATAATTTATTATTAAATAATTTATTAGCAAGATGCAGCATATTTCAAGATACAGATTTTACCAACTGATTTACTGGTAAATATATTCCTAACAATGCTGTTTTAATTTGAAGCATTTCTGAATTTCTGAAAAATGAAATTGCAATTTTTGCTTTGAAAAGAAAACCATAAAATATGCGACCTGAGATTCCATTAAAATTTCAGGCATAATTCAAGCAAAATCGAGTTAAGAGTAAGGCACTTTTACTACGGTTATGAAGCATAAAGATTAAGAAAACGCAGAACATGCAGCAATCATCAAATAAAATGTTATGCGAAAGTTACAAGTCAATTCAAAATTACAGTTAACTGCTGCATTTTATATTCTACATCAATTATAACATAGACAGCTTTTAACCTTTCAAACTTGCTAATAATTAATTAATCACTCCCAGCCGAGCAGTTTCCTCGTTTTTGGATCATCCAAGCTAAGCAGTTCTGCTTTTTTAGCTTCCAAAATTTCGTCCGGTATATACCTTATATCTTCATCCATTTGTTCCTGTTTCCTGATTGTTATTGTAATACCAACAGGTGCATGAGCCTACAACAAAAAAATTGTAGATGAAAAAAAGGCAAGTTTTATAATAAATGAGACCAAATTTATGAGTGATTAACATTATCAAGATCAGTAATAAGGAAGCAACGTTGGCATTAGTCTTCTAAACATTTCTGTAGGAACTTCACAAATTTCAGAAATGGAAAGAGAACAAATTTTAAAATGAAAGACACAACTCCTTTTCTTCTTGAACTAACAGTGGTTTCAGAAATTCACCAACTACACTGATAAAAATTACAACATTACTAACGATCTCATATGTCGAATCAAAGGAATGCAAATAAAACATATATTTGTTCCTATATATATATATATATATATGGTTTCAACTTTTGAAATGATAGTTTTTTTACATTCACTTCGCAATGTTCCACTGAATAATTATCTATAGAAAAAAATTATTTACGACTTCTTAAGTTCTTTTTTTAGAAAAAAGGATTACAAATAAAATTAAAGTTAGAAAATATCACGATACCCCTTCAAATTTGTTACTTAAGTAACAAGGATGACATGATGTAGTATATGCTGATTGTAGCTAATTTCTAGGATTACAAAAAGAATTAACCATTTCGGTTAGTCCATATTCTCTAACACTAGCAAATATTTACAGTGGAAGTAGTTTGTAATCTTTCTTTTCGAAAAACAAATTTTAAGGATAAAAAAAAAAGAACCTGCATAAGATAAAGATACAATGAGAGTCGAACACATGGTACTTCGCTCAATCTGAGAAATCGATGATACGTTGACAGTACTATTTCTTTTTCTGGTTTCCTTTTGTCAGGTTTCTCTAACTTCAGTGCAGTTTTAGTAGGAGGAATCGCGTAGCTGAAAAGCATTGTAAATCGTGCTGGAGTAAATTTAATTTAAATTCCATAAAAATAAAAGTCATGTTTAAATTTAAGAGAAACTATAGAAACAGAAAAACGCTTCAATTCCTATCCATTTGCATGGATAATGACAAACCAAGGAAGAAAAAGATCAAAATAATCAATTAAATGAAATTCCCACTTAGTTCTGAAAGGTACAGATAAGGTAAACCATATGCTAAATCCTTAGATAATCATCGTATTTAATACTGAAATTTTGATCTTTAGCTGGAATCAATATAAAACCATACCTATCGATCACTTTGAATTTGAATTGACGTGCTTTTCTGTGCGCATAACTATGAAATTTTTCAAGTGGTACAAAATCCATCGAATCCAATTGAAGTGTTAACGTTGGATATTCAGGATAAACTTTTGTATTCTTTATCATCGGTTCATATAGTTCCCATGGATTGATTTTTTTGACTTTTGACCTGAGAGATGCTTCTCGGATATGTTGTATCATTGCAGTTCCGGTAACCCATTGAGATTTTAGCAATTTCATGGGTAAATCTGTAATAGATAATAAATAAACTATACATTTGCAAAAAAGAGTCTAATAAAAGAATAATTTGGTGGTAACTGGTATTGTGGGCCTCGTCCAGATTATCTATCATAATTGAGTCATACGATTTTCTGTGGTTAATTGGTTTTGTAATATTCTGAAATTATATTAAATAGGACAAAATTTGAGGACCATAAAAAGAAAATTAACAAAAAGGAACTATTATTTTACTAAAGTATTACAATATCAAATATCTAAAAAAAATCACAATATCTAAAAAGCAAATTAATTTGAAATGAATTGTTGAATGCTATGATGATACGAAAATAGAATCAAATTGACCAATATGTTCCATTAATTAAACATGCATTCCTTGTTCTATTAATCCAAAAATGTTGTTGTATGTTAGACTTAAATATTGTCATATATTATGTCGTATATTAGATTTAAGCATCTGTGAAAGATTCTCGACTTCTGATCTTAACCGAAACTTATTTTATTCGATCCTAAATTTATTTATTACGACTAATTAAGTTGAAAAATAGGTAATCCTATTTCTTAGAGAAATCTCATATTCATTCTTAATTCGCTATCTTTCATTGCTAAAATTGTGCTAATAGCTATATTTATTCTCAGAAAAGACCGCGACACCACGAATTTCAATTTAAGAAAAGAGACATAGTTTTCCTTCAAAATTTATTTCAAAAGTTATAAAAATAATTGCTGAAAATTTCAGCTACGTTAAAAATTGCCTATCAATCATCCATTGCCCTATCAATGTTCTCTTTGAAGAGAGATACAGGATGCTTGAGAAGAGCGAGGTAACGCATGACAGAGAAAACGTCGGAAGCGTGTAACATTTAGAAATTAAACCACTGAGTATGATCTGCAAAGAAGCCTAAAGTAAATACGGGAAGCGAATCAGTTGGGTTTATGCCCTCGAACAACTGTTCTTGGGATCCCTCGCGCAGAGGACTTGTCTTTTGCGCGGGTTGATTTTTTTGGACCGCGTCCCCGGGGTTATCCGGGAGCGCATCAGTAGGTATATTCGTGTGCCGTTATTGCGTCAGACCGCTTGGTTGAGTGACCAGCGGCGCAGTGGGGTATTTTCGCGCTATTCTGCCTTCAGATGCTCGTGACTTCTATGTTACGGGCAAATGAGTTTGCCCTTATTCGAAATCGGGAATGCTTGATGCTTGGTTGCAAACATTTACAGATATAATTTATTTTTGGGCAAATTACAAATACATGATGTTAAGTGAAGCAGTGATAATGTGAAGTGTAGATTTGCCTTTGATACCTAATCCAATTAAAATACTAAAGTATCTTAGTAAGATTTCTACATTCGGCAACATCAATAACGTGATGGTTATGAAAATCGATGAAATAAATTATATCGATTTGACTATAGATTAAAAAGAATTTTCTTCAACTTAATTCATTTCCAAATAGACATTCATTTCAATTTCAAATAATTTTGGAAATTCGAAGTCTAACTAGGTTATAATAGTATTAGGCACCTGAGAGACAGACTCAATATAATATATCATAGTGTAAATTATATTAATTTCAATTCAGTACCAGAACGATTGGCGGGACGATGATAGACTAACAGGTTGTGGATATAGTCCACCACCTTTTGTAGGATATGGTGTCGTTCTAAAGTTCGAACTTGGCTGCTGCGGATATTGTTGCTGTTGCAATATTGCCAGCAACTTGTCGGATTTGATTTTTCTGTAGGATAAGAAAGATTTAAAAACCTGACCTTTTAGCAATGTAGTGGATGAGTTTGATAATTTTAGGGAATGATTTAATTAATCATTTTGTGGATAGTTACCTAAGACGTTGAAAATTTCGCTTAAAGAATGGGGTAATGTCAGAGTTCTTTTATAAGAGATCAAGGAAATTTTCATAATGTTCACTTTGAAGATACAAAATTACTTTAGACGATTGCAGAGAATAAAAACTGCACAAGAAGTAACCTCATATGAGCAAGAGTCTTCTTCTCAATGAATTCTTTCAAGAACTGATCAACTTCTATATCGCCCCTTAAATATCGATCGGCGATTGCCTGAAATAAAGATCCTCAAAACAGTTATACGACTGTCAGTAATGACTATATCCCGGATATGATTGTACATCAGTCTTCTGAAAAAGAAATACAGCAGTGCAGTACTACTGCCTTCGATACATCCATTTTTCTGTTTAAGTTCAGAAAAAAATATTTTGCTATCAATTACAACTGCTTTCAAAACATTTAATAATCGATACCACTTATATTCTATCAGTTAAGATGAGCCTTAATTTTCTCCTTTGCATTTTGTAAGTATGAAAGTTTTTGAATAAAATCGTCTAAAAAACAGTATGAAAAATTGCATCCGCAGTGTCCTGTACATAGAAAATTAACTAGCTTCAAATAAATTAAACGATATGTAAACTATCTTACTGATTTAACAGAGTAAAAAAAGAAAGGCATTTCGTCTTCAACTCAGTGCTACTACTAAATATCAAAATTATGAGTAAGTGTTCAAAAAAGGCAAGTACTAGCGATCTTAGGCAGTAACTCTTCTCTATATTGTACAAAATCAACCTACAATTTAATAATACTATCCTTTAAATTATAATTAAATCTCGTCATTTACTTCGCTTTCGTCCTCAGCAGATTGTGCAGCAGCCTGTAGCAATGCACTCGATGTGTCTAACGACCTCTCTTCCGATAATGAATCTGAAAATGAAGTCATTTTGCATTATTTTGAAGATGGACACTATATCTATTACGATTTATATATTTTAAAAAAGAAAGGAAAAAAATCTATTCTTCCAACTGTTTAAATATATAATAAGGAAGGCAACAACTGAAATGTGAACATGTGAAAGCTGACGACTTTTGAAGGAAAAAAATGAAAACTGATGAGAACTTACTCAATTTTTCCTTAAGCTCCATAACTTCCTCTTTAATTTTAACGGCTTCTTCATAAGTGCTCCGTAATTGTCTTTTAGCTTCTTCAATCTTTGGTTCTTGTGATAAATTCCACTCGGCAAGCGATTTATTCTGCACAAGGCCCATTTCACGTTCAGTAGGCAAAGTTCGAACCTAAAAAGCTGGGGAAGATGCATTATAATACGATACCAATATTAATTTTAACAAAATTTCATTGCATTTTCTTTTAGAACAAAATGAACAGTTCGAAATGAGTAATTTTATTTAAAACCAAACCTTGCAAAAACAGCTTAACGTTTGACAAATGACATATCAGCTGTTTCTCGAATACTAACAAAAAAAAAGACATAAAAATTTCAAAATAATAAAAGACGAGCCTGCGATATGTTATCAATGATATCATCAATTTTCTTTTCAGCACCATTATTCAAAAGTTCTCCAACTTGATTGTAATTCATATTCTTAATCGATGTCATTGCAGCTGCGACACAAACATCCAGAAGAGATTCATACGAAACGTCAACCATCACGTTTCACCTGTAACTTACTGCAAAACACTGAACACTAAACAATTAATCTATTCAATTTCTAATAAATAAGCAGAACAAAACGGCCAAAACTAACTAACTATAGCAAATGATGAAATTACAAAGAATTTTATTCGAAATATAGAAAAATTTAACAATCTGTTCGAAAATATTAGATATCACTAATTAAATACAATGTTAACAGAGTTCATTAACTTCCGTTTCACATCTTTTAAGGTTAATATTCCGCACCTTTGAAAAGGTACACAGCACATCTAGCATACAGCGAGAGACATAATCGTTTCATTATCAACAAAAATTAAAGCAGGAAATGCATCATAGTTATAAAACCGAAATTGGTTTAGATTAGAGGACAATACTGCTAAAATAAAAGTAGAACTGAATAATTTGAATATATTTATTGGAGACGTAAAGGAGCACCGTGTGAATAAGAATAGAGAAAAGAGATAAAGCTGGTTCTTCAGCTAATTGACAGTTTGTGCAATATTTTGTCTCAAGCTATCTCTTATTAGTTTATTTTGATGGGAATTATTTTGTCAGTCTTGATTTTAGGTTTTTTAGTTTGTAATGTTCGCTTTTCACATTTCATTTAGGATATTATATTTAGGCTAATTATTAAATGCGAAATCTCAAAGTTCGGTCGGTTGTGGTGCATGACACATTGTTGTCAAATGCAAAATATGAAAGTCAACAGAACAAAGCATCCTCAGTGTCCCTTTCATCTCATGGTAAATTTCAGGACTTAATTTTAAAAGAAAGAATTGACGAGTAAACGAATTAAGTTTTGTTATATACATATTTCATTACAATAAAATTAGCAATAAAGTTGAAGTTGTGTAAATAAGTACGTAAATCCTTCATTTCTTCCATATATCATTTAAGATAAATGGTTGTTTTATTTTCAGAAATTGAAGCAGTATGTGTTAGTATTGAGAACAGGATTTTCTGCGCTTGTTATGCTGGAGTATGTGAACTGTCATCTGAAGTACTTGTATGCTTATTGTAATTTTTTCCAGCTTTCATGATTGTTTTTTCACTTCAGAACATTAAAGAAAATGATAAACTCAGATTGAGCTATGCATTCTAATGTACAGAGTAAAACATCACTTGGCTGTCAGTAGATGGTTATTCATGTGATTCAAATAATTACTATAGGTACAAAGAATGCGTCACCATCGTACTGTATTGGCATGAGAGATGATATAAAGCAGACATTAATAAGACCTTAGATATAGTAGAATCGGCATACTGAGTATATTTTAAAGTTGTAAGTTTCTGTGCTTCGTTACATTGTGACATCTACCAATAGCCAGCAGAATATAGAGATGAAGCTGGATAAAAGTGACTGTTAATTAGAACATAACAAAATGAATTGTAGTTTTAGTATTTTTCAGAAGCTGGTCGAATGGACAGAACAGCGCAATGGTGCCAGAATCATTTCATTTGATCATTTAAGTGATGAATATCTACTATGCACTGTATTGTCATCAGGTGTAGTATTGATTGTGGAT